GTAAAATATTTATTTAGCGAATTGGGAATTGATTGTTTCTTTATTTGTCTAAAAATGTGTCAGGTCAATTTGTCCTTTCCGATTTGGTGGGTCATCTAGAGAATTTGGAAGAACATTGTCCTTTGACTGGCCATTATTTCGAGCCCTGATCCATATGCATAGCTGGTTGGTTCAATGCAAGATTCTGTGATGTCAAGGGTGTGTCAATAAGAGGGCATACAACTCAAAATCATTTGCAATTTCTTACCACATTTTTATTATTTTTATTTCATAAAAATTATTATTTTCTTTCAACTGAGCATGTATAGCCTGTGTACATGTACATCGTTTCTCACCCCTCCAAAAAATCGGGGAGAGAACGACTCCCCGATTTTTTTGAAGGGGTGAGAAACGGATGTACACAGGCTAAGCATGTATGGTCATGTGTGATAGTGTCAGTACAGTGTGCATGTTCTCTTATTGACATACTCTAATCAGTATAACAGCACCTGAGAATTCATCTTTAAACTGTGGTAAAAATATATTTATTTATTTTAATTCTTATAGGAATTAAAGCTCAAAGATGAGCAATGCGATAAATTGTCTCAAGTCAGAAACCAGCTGGAGTCTGAGTTGGAAGAGCTCACAGCCAGTCTGTTTCAGGTAACTGACCTTCACACAGTAGTTCACATTATTGGTGACATCATTTTCCTTTTAATGAAATTATAATGATTCCTACACAGGAAGCCCATGCAATGGTCCATGAAGCAAGGTTAAAACAAGACCAGGCAGAGAAGAAGTACACAGAGGCTGACATCAAGGTACAACATAACGAATTAGATCCTTTAATGATTGTATATATTTTTGTTAATGAACAATATTGTCTTAATACTGGATTGTAGGTCAATCAGTTAATCAGTCATTTTCCCGTCAAAACCGCACAGTTAGCCAGACAACAAAATCACACAGTTAGCCAAACACTTTTTCATCTAAGTACATAAGTTAAACAACTACTTTTTCGTCTAAGTCGAACTGTTAGCTAGGCACTTTGCCGTCTAAATTGACCAAAAACCAGACACCTTTCTGTCTGAGTCAGACAGTTGGTCAGACAAGTCATCTTATTAAGTCAGTTAGGTAGACACTTTAACGTCTGAGTCCATTAGGAAACTAGACAATGTCGTCGTCTAAGTCAAAGAGTCAACTTTGCCGTCTAAGTCATTCAGGCGGCCATGACAATTAGACCGCAAGGTCTATTGGAATACGAGTTGATAGTCCATGAGGGCGCACTCTTACTACTGCCCTACATATATTGCAAAATGCCTGAAACTAGCGGCAAACTAGTGTGAGCTGCGTCGGTGTTTCTAAAGAAACAGTTGTGTAAAAAGATAAATTTAGGCACCGTAAAAAAGTAGGTGAAACAGCTTACTTGGACGCTTCGGACTTTAATCCTTTTTCGTCTCTTTACTCCGATGAAGGATTCCTTTAGTAACGTTCAAAGCGTCAGTACGTTGTTTCATCTACTTTTTTACGGTGTTCAATATCCAAGAATTGCCTCTGAAAAATTGTCCTTCTTTTAGCAACCATATATGGTAATCTAACCTTATTTGGAATGTACGTGTGGGCCGGTTTTTGGCGATTTTTTGAAGTTGTCTGAAACTTGTGGATATTAGCGAAAACACAATCGGCCATTTTGTTTGTTTCCATATATGGCATGGATTCGCTAAAGGAAATCCAAAACTAAAATGCACAGGGATCCCGCACGAATGACGTAAATTCTTTGATATATATATTGCAGGTTGATATGCTGCAAGCAGAAGTTAACGCCCTTAAATCACTAGTAATAACCAGGACACCAGGCAACCACAAGGGCTCCCGTCACCGTCGTCATAGTGATGAGCAATATTCTCCATGCGAAAACTGTGGCTCTTATGACTGCGATGGAGCTGCCCCCAAGAATTCTGCTCGATGCAAAGGAAGAAGAAAATCAAGAGATTACCACAATCCTAACGAACCCGAGGTAACATGTCACATGTCACACATTCTAAATGTACGAATATATGCCTTATTATCAAATTCATTAATAATTCATAAGGTAAACAATTAAGTAACAATGCGCTAAAGAACTAGGGAGCTCTCTATTGTTCTGCGGCATAGCAAGTTCCCCATGTACGAATGTCTTGGTTTTCACACTKATTATRTATCAACCTATGGGTAACACATTTTTGAAATAAAATGTGGATAAACTCTAAGTTTCTTCTGTATTAAAAGCTCTTATCCAATCATAAGCACTCCGTCAAAACAATAGCCAAAAGATGCTTCTAATTTGCAATATTCCCCACATAGAATTGCCTTATATTGAAGCTAAAGAAAGCTTTCATGAAAGCGAAAACAGACATTAAATAAAATATTAGAAAATTCGCTAACTTGTGAAATTATAGCAGATTTTCATGTTCTAACCAATGGGATGGATGGATTATACAATGCACAATTAGCACCTTCTTGCATTCCTTTGCCGTTTGCTTGCCTAGTTCTTACTCGGGCCATTACTTACTAAAATCATTGCCGTGACCGCATCTTCTTATGAGCAAGAGATTTTTCCTGATTTGCATACGACTTTTACTTCGATTTTCTCTTAAAAATGATATTTTATCTTGAAGTTTGTAACAAAATATGCATTAGCTTACTAGTTTGTTGGAATTTGATAGGACACACTCGAAGCCGTTGACGTGTATCTATTTATCTTCCTATAGGTGGATGTCATAACATTTAGAGAATTTTTACAGTTTATGGACGAGCATTCCGTGTCACATGACCAGCCATTTCTTAATAGAATTTACATAGAAAACGTGGCTCCTTGCTTGGAATTCCCGAACAGAGAGGTAAGATCACACATACATATATTTTTGGATTTCAACCACATGATAAGAATCCCTACTCGAGAACTAAAGAACAAAGTTATCGCTGCCATGTTGGATGAATGAACAAGCGAAACTAATGAGGAATGCTTTGTTATCGTCATCCAACATGGCGGCGATGACATAACGTGAAACTGAGGGATGAGAGACCTAATGGTCAATCACAACTTTCAAAAATGGCGCGGTATGTCACGGTCTTCGAGCAGGACACTGGAGACGAAGCACTAAAATGAGGTCTCAAAGGCAAGGCTCCGTATAGTAAACTTCGATAGTGTCTTGCAAGAGTGTTTTTTTTTTTTATAAATAACATACCAAAACACCATTCAAACTTTTGGACACTAACATACATGCCATCCTCGTAGTGATTTTTAGACCTTTCCATTATTCGTCACGTGAACTGGCACCATTTCCGAAAGTCGTGTATAGCTGACATCCCTTACGAGCTGTTGCTCAATTCATTTATAGACTCCCTGCAGTGTGGGAATGCAGTTTCAACTGGAAGACAAAACAATGGATCCTAGTTCCCAAGAGGGCAAAAATCCTTTGTTTTGCCTTCGGGATGAAGCTGCTTTGACGTCATATGCAAGGGATCTATATGACCTTCTCTTCGACTAATGCTGTAATATAACATGTTTAGCAAACATGAGTTGAATTTCCAAGTGATTTAAAATTCCCTGCAGTGTTAGATTCAATGATATCGCCTTTTTGCGATCCCTGATCCGACAACGTTTTTTCAATTTGGTGTACTGACAAATGTTTTTATTTGTATTATACAGCTTGCCAATGCAATCCATGCTGCTATAGAAAATAATGTTCTTTCAATGGAAACAATACGAACGAAACCAATGTTCAGGTATGAGATAATTCCATGTTTAACCACAAGGAATGATGGGAAGAGGGATAGCTCCTCCTTATCATGCGTTCGATACTCCATTGAAGCGAGTAACCGCTGTTTTATTTGACAACAAATTCTCTTGAGTAAAGACCGTAGTTACCAAAAAAAAAGTTTTATTGACTTAGTGGATATTCGTTATTACAGGCGATGTGCCTTAACGGGTGTAACTCGATTTTGTCGCCACCGAGTGAAACTATCCGATAACCAAGATTGGATAAATATATGTCGTAACAGTCGAGACAGGGTAAGTATAGTTTAATTACGACACCTAACTTTTTGTGGATCCCGCATGTTTTTGGAACGACACAGATCGCAGAATGGACAACATAATGTACGGTCACTTTACATTGCAATAGCCGATTTGCGAATTTTGGCTGAGATAGTCAGACACAAGAATAAAGACGTATTATAAGCAGAAACTCACTTTTCCTCATTGTAAGACTCGAGCCTAAAACCGAGGGATGGAAACGGATCGCGAATGGATATTTGAAGTCACCTCATTTTCCATGTATGAAAAATCTAAAACACGACCGCATTGAATGCTGGTGGACCATGTCCCTTAAATTTCTTTACAACTGAACCGCAATGTTAATTACTGGAAATGGCAGTATATGATATTGTGTAGACTTATTTGTTGTTGTTGTTGTTGTTTTAGATTGCTGCCGTCTGTGACTTTTATACTTATATAAGATACATCCAGAAAGGACTTGTCAAAGCAGATGGTAAGTTATTTAGATCGTAGAAGAATAGGCTAGCTCCATTTTAAATCCATCTGAATCAACCCGCTGGAAGCTTTTTTAATCACTATTCAGCTTACAGAATACTTTATTTTCGAACGTACACAATAAACGGTAAATTCAGTGTACGTTTTAGACTTATAGTAAGGGTACTTTACCTTAAATAAATTCCTACGATTATGAAAAGTCTTTTGAAGTCAAACTTAAAACAATTTCAGAAAGATTTAAAACGATAGCTACTTTTTATTACTCGCTTTCAGCTCGCTGTTTTAAATCCTCATACAGATCGCCCGCTCATATTGTATCAACCTTATCCCGTTGCTTGTCCCCAGGCGTCCAATCCCAAGCGAAGGGATAAGGGCTTGGGAACGAGGTTGATATTGTATATATTACATATAATATTTTGGTACATGTTTCCATTTCTAATTCAAACCTCGCTATTGTTACTTTTCAAAGCGACTGAAATTTACTGGGAAATAATGAGACTACGTCACAAAATGACCGAAGCGAGGCTTGGTTTAACCGCACAGAAACCAACCACCGGGTCGTGACACGTGATGCATTTATAGTTTATGATTGGTTGTTTTGGACTATGGTATTATCACGTGACTTCCGCCGTGTTTTGATGATATGGACCTAGGTAATATTCAGCTGGTACTGAAATTACTTATGACGCATGCGCATTGGTGGGATACAATATCTGAGAGTGAAGGGAGTGGTGGGTTTGGACAATGGAATATCACGTGACTTCAGCCTTATTTTCATGGGATGGATCTTGGTTCAGCATAAACTGAAATAACACATGCGCATGCGTACTGGTAGGATACGATCATCTAAGAGTGAAGCCTGGGATCAATTCAATTGACAACGGCGTGTTTTTATTGGTTGCTTGTAACAATACATGAAACAATTGCGGCCTGCATTTGGAAATTACAATGCATCCTGGATCCATTCAAAGAATGGCAAAAGGGCGTATTTTCTTGACATTTATCACATGACCTGCATCAGGTTATTTCAAGGTGAAGGCTGGAATGCATAGCGGCATTGAAAAATTTTCAAACGCTCAGTTTCGATGGGCTTTTTGACCTGTTTGTCATGCTACATACACACAAATCAGAGGTTGTCTTAAAACGTGAACAACATGGACAACTTCTCTGAGTATTTCAATTTTTCGACCTTCGTTGCATCACTCTATTCATGGTAAAGAGATAATAGTCTCCTTCACGGTTACCAGCGCCATCTTGAAAGGTAGCCGTGCCTTTGCATCTAAGCGAGATGAAAGTTAAGCGGGCAATGATAGAAACCTTCTTTCACACCTACAGACAATTATTCCTAGGTTTCTATCACTGCACGCTCAACGGTCGTCTCGCTTCGATGTACAGGCAAGGCTANATTCCCCACATAGAATTGCCTTATATTGAAGCTAAAGAAAGCTTTCATGAAAGTGAAAACAGACATTAAATAAAATATTAGAAAATTCGCTAACTTGTGAAATTATAGCAGATTTTCATGTTTCAACCAATGGGATGGATGGATTATACAATACACAATTAGCACCTTCTTGCATTCCTTTGCCGTTTGCTTGCCTAGTTCTTACTCGGGCCATTACTTACTAAAATCATTGCCGTGACCGCATCTTCATATGAGCAAGAGATTTTTCCTGATTTGCATACGACTTTTACTTCGATTTTCTCTTAAACATGATATTTTATCTTGAAGTTTGTAACAAAATATGCATTAGCTTACTAGTTTGTTGGAATTTGATAGAGGACACACTCGGAGCCGTTACGTGTATCTATTTATCTGCCTAGGTGGATGTCATAACATTTAGAGAATTTTTACAGTTTATGGACGAGCATTCCGTGTCACATGACCAGCCATTTCTTAATAGAATTTACATAGAAAACGTAGCTCCTTGCTTGGAATTCCCGAACAGAGAGGTAAGATCACACATACATATACACTTATTTGCTGAAATGTTGTCATAGAAAATAGAACATTTGAATTTAGTAAAAAGGAATAAATTATAACAAGACAAAAGAAAGCGTTCAGCCTCAGTGATTTTCTTTTGTCTTTTTAATTTATTCCTTTTTACTAAATACAAATGTCCTATTTTTTATGACAACGTTTTCGCAAGTAGGTGTATTTTTGGATTTCAACCACACGATAAGAATCCCTACTCGAGAATTAAAGAACAAAGTTATCGCTGCCATGTTGGATGAATGAACAAGCGAAACTAATGAGGAATGCTTTGTTATCGTTATCCAACATGACGGCAATAACGTAACGTGAAACTGAGGAATGAGAGACATGGTCAATCGCGACTTTCAAAAATGACGCGGTATGTCACGGTCTTCGAGCAGGGCACTGGAGACGAAGCACTAAAATGAGGTCTCAAAGGCCATCCTCCGTATAGTAAACTTCAATGGTGTGTTGCAAGAGTGTTTTGTTTATAAATAACATACCAAAACACCACTCAAACTTTTGGACACTACATGCATGCGATCCTCGTAGTGATTTTTAGACGTTTCCACGACTCGTCACATGAACTGGCATCATTTCCGAAAATCGTGTATAGCCGACATCCCTTACGAGCTGTTGCTCAATTCAATTATAGACTCCCTGCAGTATGGAAATGCAGCTTCAACTCGAAGACAAGACAATGGATCCTAGTTCCCAAGAGGGCAAAAATCGGTTATTTTGCCCTCGAGATGAATCTGCTTTGACGTCATAAGCAAGGGACCTATATGACTTTCTCTTCGACTAATGCTGTAATATAACATGTTTAGCAAACATGATTTGAATTTCCAAGTGACTTAAAATTCTCTGCTGTGTTAGATTCGATGATATCGCCTTTTTGCGACCCAACAAAGTTTTCTCAGTTTGGTGCAATGACAAACATATTTTTTGTATTATTTAGCTTGCCAATGCAATTCATGCTGCTATAGAAAACAATGTTCTTTCAATGGAAACAATACGAACGAAACCAATGTTCAGGTATGAGATAATTCCATGTCTAACCACAAGGAATGATGGGAAGAGGGATAGCTCCTCCTTATCATGCGTACAATACTCCATTGAAGCGAATAACCGCTGTTTTATTTGACAACAAATTCTCTTGAGTAAAGACCTTAGTTACCAAAAAAAAAAGTTTTATTGACTTAGTGGATATTCGTTATTACAGGCGATGTGCCTTAACTGATGCAACTCGATTTTGTCGCCACCGAGTGAAACTCTCCGATAACCAAGATTGGATAAATATATGTCGCAACAGTCGAGACAGGGTAAGTATAGTTTAATTACGACACCTAACTTTTTGTGGATCCCGCATGTTTTTGGAACGGCACAGATCGCAGAATGGACAACATCATGTACAGTCACTTTACATTGCAATAGCCGATTTGCGAATTTTGGTTGAGTAGTCAAACACAAGAATCAAGACGTATTATAAGCAGAAACTCACTTTTCCTTATTGTAAGACTCGAGCCTAAAACCGAGGGATGGAAACGGATCGCGAATGGATATTTGAAGTCACCTCATTTTCCATGTATGAAAAATCTAAAACACGACCGCATTGAATGCTGGTGGACCATGTCCCTTAAATTTCTTTACAACTGACCCGCAATGTTAATTAATGGGAATGGCAGTATATGATATTGTGTAGACTTATTTGTTGTTGTTGTTGTTGTTGTTTTAGATTGCTGCCGTCTGTGACTTTTATACTTATATAAGATACATCCAGAAAGGACTTGTCAAAGCAGATGGTAAGTTATTTAGATCGTAGAAGAATAGGCTAGCTCCATTTTAAATCCATCTGAATCAACCCGCTTGAAGCTTTTTTAATCACTATTCACCTTACAGAATACTTTATTTTCAACGGAAGAGATTTAAAACGTAAGGTAAAGTACCCTTACTATAAGTCTAAAACGTACACAATAAACGGTAAATTCAGTGTACGTTTTATACTTATAGTAAGGGTACTTTACCTTAAATATATTCCTACGATTATAAAAAAGTCTTTTGAAGTCAAACTTAAAACAATTTCAGAAAGATTTAAAACGATAGCTACTTTTTATTACTCGCTTTCAGCTCGCTGTTTAAATCCTCATACAGATCGCCCGCTCATATTGTACCAACCTTGTCCCCAGGCCCAAGCGAAGGGATAAGGGCTTGGGAACGATGTTGATATTGTATATATTACATATAATATTTTGGTACAGCCTTTTGCAAAAATTATGAGAATTGTTGAAATATCTAAATATCATAATATCAAGTGCATGATCCCGCGCGATGCCCTTAATCCCTTGTCTTTGTTGTTTAGTTTTTTTTGGCGACAGACTTATCTGTAGTTCTGAACATTTTCTCGATGTCAACAATGAATTATTCTAGCAAACTCGCGTGTTTTGGACAATATGTGGATATGGATATTATGATATTTAGATATTTAAACAATTCTCATAATTTTTGCAAAAGGCTGTACATGTTTCCATTTCTAATTCAAACCTCGCTATTGTTACTTTTCAAAGCGACTGAAATTTACTGGGAAATAATGAGACTACGTCACAAAATGACCGAAGCGAGGCTTGGTTTAACCGCACAGAAACCAACCACGGCATCGTGACACGTGATGCATTTATAGTTTATGATTGGTTGTTTTGGACTATGGAATTATCACGTGACTTCCGCCGTGTTTTGATGATATGGACCTGGGTAATATTCAGCTGGTACTGAAATTACTTATGACGCATGCGCATTGGTGGGATACAATATCTAAGAGTGAAGGGATTGGTGGGTTTGGACAATGGAATATCACGTGACTTCAGCGTTATTTTCATGGGGTGGACCTTGGTTCAGCATAAACTGAAATAACACATGCGCATGCGTACTGGTAGGATACGATCATCTAAGAGTGAAGCCAGGGATCAATTCAATTGACAACGGCGTATTTTTATTGGTTGCATGTAACAATACATGAAACAATTGCGGCCTGCATTTGGAAATTACAATGCATCCTGGGATCCATTCAAAGAATGGCAAAAGGGCGTATTTTCTGGACATTTATCACATGACCTGCATCAGGCTATTTCAAGGTGAAGGCTGGAATGCATAGCGGCATTGAAAAATTTTCAAACGCTCACTTTCGATGGGCTTTTTGACCATTTTGTCATGCTAAACACATGACACACATATCAAAGGTTGCCTTAAAACGTGAACAACATGGACAACTTCTCCGAGTATTTCAATTTTTCGAACTTCGTTGCATCACTTTATTCATGGTAAAGAGATAATAGTCTCCTTCACGGTTACCAGTGCCATCTTGAAAGGTAGCCGTGAATTTGCATTTAAGCGAGATGAAAGTTAAGCGGGCAATGATAGAAACCTTCTTTCACACCTACAGACAATTATTCATAGGTTTCTATCACTGCACGCTCAACGGTCGTCTCGCTTCGATGTAAAGGCATGGTTACCTTTCAAGATGGCGCAGGGAACCGTGAAGAAGACTATTGGATAGACACGAAACAGTTTTCCAAAACAACAAATTTCACTTCTATACTGCGTTTGGAGAAACCGATGTTGGATAAATCTTGAACGTCTGAGACGCTAAATAGATCGTTTAGTCTCGCAATTTCTTCTCGATTTTCTGTTGAGTTTTAAATTTCCACACCGTTCATATATTGGAGTGAAACGCTTATTAACTAAGA